CTAAACTTTATTGACATCCCCAGAAGTTCATAGGAGAATTTCATAACTAGAAATTGCGCGAACTGTACACTGCAATATGAAACTTTATGCCGACAAAGCCACCTCCGCGGCGCCGAATGGAGTAGGAGTTATTTTCGCGAACGGGGAGGCACACTCCCGAAGTTTCGAACTCAAATAGCTCGATTATCGGGCAATGGTAATTTTATTAAAGCCGCGCTATTGGCATCCGCGATTACGTCAGCCCGCGATTAAATTATTTCCGCATGACAAACACTTAAAGGGCGGGAGACATTGAAAAATATTGTTAAGCCGGCCGGCCGGCGCGATTGCGTCCCGGAAAAACGAGCGTCACGCTACGCCCCGCAGGTGCATTTAGTGCGCTGAAAACTGCGTTCCAATTAAACGCCTCCGTATCTGGCTGCACGCTCGTGCTTCATAAAACTATTTCAGCTAAGAGCTCTCTCGCAGCTGAGACCAGTTATAATAATTGCGGGTCTCGAGAATCGCAACGTGTATAGCCCGAGTTCGAGCTGGTAATGCATCGTGGCCCATTTTTATTAGGAGAGATAAGCCACAAATTATCTTTTTATAGGGTAACGTTCGAGGGACGTGTAATTATTTTTAAAACATAGTGCCCCTGTAAAATAATCGCTCCATCCTTTCTGTTTCAATTGTCTCCATACTTAGCTAGGAATTTATCCCACGTTTCCAGGACTGTAAAAACATCAATTCTCAATTTAACAATTGATTTGAACGAATGTGTATCAATTCAAGCAACTGACGATTTTGAATCTGAAGATTTTTCGATTTTGAAACTGACGATTTTTCGATCTTTAATTAAAAATTTATATAAATTAATATAAGTAATAAAGTAAACAGCTTTTAATTAAATTTGCTAAGTTTAGTTGACACAATAGAGTAATTTTTTATTCCCTTCGCTCATATCAGTCGTCAATTGAATGATCTTTAATCGAATTCGTTGAAATCGTCGATTGAACGGTTTTCAATTAAATTCGCTTATATCAATGATCAATTGAACACGATAATTAATTGAAAAAGTAATTAACTATCCTGCATGGCCCTGATCAGCTTGATCCTAATCAGTTGTCTGGTTTGGTACAAGGTGATGTTATCGAGTCATGATCAGTCATGTAATGCAGCGTGGTGATCAAGATCTTATTAATAATGATAAGAGTTATTAATAATTAAGACTTCGTTAATAATTATAAATCGATAACATCACTTTATACAAACCAGATAACTGATTGGAATCAACCTGATCAGGACATGAGATAAATTTCCAATCGAGAGATTCTTATGAGAATCTTGGCTACTATCGTAGACGACTGTTGTCGCAATTTCTTCCATAAATCAGCACTGAAAACACAGAACGTGTTCAAACGACTGTCATAAACAATCGGAGAGCGTTGTACAGCTTGCTCGCGATATGCGGAATGGTCGGCTGCGCGCCGGTTTTAAACACGATGCGGCAAACGCGTCGTAATTACCGGCGCGGTAAAATCGATATCGACAAAGCCGATAAATCATTTCTCGCGAGAATATTAGACCAGCCGTTGGCCGATAACAGAAGCCTGTATATTCGAGCTCGCCCATTCCCGATAGCGAGTCACCGGCAGGTCCGGGCATCGTTCCAAACCTGAATGACGCCCACTCGTAGAACTTACGCAACGACGCGTGCCAATGCACCGCTAAAACACGCTCATTCATGATTTTCGCTTCCGCCGCTGTCTCTGGCAAAGACATTGCACTTGCCCCACATTCGCGCTGCCAACCTGTTTCTTTCTATTCTGTTCAACGTCGCGAGCTCCGACACCTTCTAGTTATTATAATATTACAACTATCCCTCTTACTCCGTTCGCGAAATCTTGATTCCAGTTTCGACCTTAATATTGCATTTGTCGTCTACTTTGATGCTCTGAAGTCTGCGTTAACATCTTTTGATTCTACTCGACCTACAGCTTCGCCAAGAGATTCTCTTTAGAACCTACATGTTACATTTTGTGCGTTTTCTACTATTTAGAACCCAAATAGGATTTCCGTCTGTATTAAACATACACTGATCTTTCAGAATATACAGATGTTAGAAAGTTCTGGTCGAGAGAGAGAGAGAGAAAGCAGGGCTGAAATTTCGAGTCGGAATGTTATAACGTAATTTCCCATGTTATGTAAATTATAACATAATTATATCACATCTTATTATTATAACATAGTTGACAATATTATAACAGAATTTCGTTGCTTGTATCATATCGAGAATGTAATATAAGCGACGAAATTACGATCTATCTCTCGATTAGAGCTTGTGGAGGTTTCCACGTTTTCGACCTTACGACGAATATTCAGGATCGGTAGTCCTTGAGGTGAAAGGTTGAGAATTCAGTAGTCGAGGGGAATTGATATTTATTTTCATCATTCTGCATTTACTGGGCGCGTAAGAGAGACGCTAGTCTCTTCCGCAAATTGAATAGTTTGCCGAAGGTTTCTCTGGACGATACCCTCGTGCTTTCCTTAGTCACTCGTCTAATAGTGTCGTGCAACAAATCACGGAAAGTAAGCACGGAGAATTCTTACGTGTGAGATTTCGTATACATGCCCGTATGTATGTGCGTGTTATATATATATATATATATATATATATATATATATATATATATATATATTCCGGAACGTGTGACACGTAGTTGCAAAATTTCGAACTGTCGCGCATAAAATCCGGCGAGATTTCGCGCGCGTGCACTCAACGTCGACGTTCGCATAAGCGGCAAAGTTCTGTACGAAGCGATTTTGAACTTTCCATTATGCAAATCAAATCGCACGCGCGTGTACAGATTGGCTTCTCTTATTGATAATATTTTCAATCCCCGACTTTCCGCGTGCGCGTATTTAAGGGTTGTTTACCTATCACGGGTACGTTGTCGCGGGAGCTTTACAGCGAAGCTGTAAGCATCTCTTTTGCGATGACATAAATCCGGGTCAAAAATATAAGCAAATTTCATTTGTTTATTTTTTTAAAGGTTGTTAAAGCACTGAAATAAAATAAAGTAGGAATGTAGGATTTATAATGCATAGAGTACACGAAGCAAGGGACGCCCGGAGAAAAGAGAGAATAAGAGAGTAAAGCGAGAGAGTCGAGAGATAGAGTCGAAGAACCAGGGAGTGAGAGTCAGAAAGTTAGAGAAGGGAAATTAGATTTGGTTCGAGCGTTGAGAGAAAAATAAAATCGAGGTTTTTGTGGAGAAAGAGAATCGGATAGTCAGAACGAAAGGAAAAGAGGAATTAGAAACGTACGCAGACAAATAGTTCGGGCGTTTCGCGAGCAGTGCGAAATCATCAATGATACAGTTGAGACGCGGAACGGCATCGTAATAAGAATCGTGTTCGTATCCGTCCGTTATACGCGATTGCATTGTACTTTTATAATCGATAGTATCCGTGTTCGTTTATACACAATCCAATGGCAGTTAGTCATTTGAATAACCTCTATACTTTTGTTAAAAAAATTCGGTAATCGCTTGGTACATAGAGGAAAGAAAGGAAATTTTATCGCCAAGATCCTAATAAGATTTTTATGGAAGGATCTTGTCTTCGCTGAGCCTCGAAAGTACAAAGGCCCCTTTATTTTTAAATGATTTAAGTGAATTTTTCTTCTGCCTACCCTTTATGCCACCGCGGTTGCCCTATTCAGCGAACTAAGTGCTTTCTCTCTGATTCAACGCGAGCGATTTGTCACAAATTTGTCACGCGCACCTTACCGCTTAATGACGTGTAAATCCCTCGAGTCGAAAGTAGGTTGCGTGTCTGGAAGCGTCGATGAGAAAATAAGGTGGATCGTTACCGAACGATAACGTTACCACGACGAGTCGATCTTGGTCGGTGAGTCCGCGAGAACACGCGAATCGCGATACCTCGAAAGTGGCCATGCCGAGCGTGTCGCGCGGTTGCGTTTCACGTTGAAATACACGTGTAGAGTCGTTTGAGAGATTCGCTTTCGATAGGTGGAGGAGGTAGTGGCGAGAAGAAGAAGAACTCTCTCGTTCATGTAATGCCACGTAACGCGTAACTGGACCCCGCTGACATAACCAGTCGTGGGACCACTTTGCAGTGAAACTTGTCTCGGTGTAACAAGCCCCGCTGATGCCGCGTCAAAGTCTGGGTCAATGTTGCGCTGATAACTCACATACGGGCAGCTACTCTGTATGCCTCGCGTGCGCTTGTTTCGCGCCAACGGCTTCTCGTGAAAGCATGGAGAGCGCTTTACGTTGCATTAGCAGCGCGCGTTGGAGGAAGAGATCCCTTGTAATATTAATGATAATAATTATGGTCTTAGTTAAATAATGAACGTAAAAGAAGAGAAACAATTGACATATTTCAAGGCAAACATACCAATCTCCAGACATACACTTAATTCTTAGACAAATTCCTAATGTTTTAGTTCTTATAAATGCGAATATTTAAACAACTTACAAAACATGAAATATGTATACATATATTGAATATACATGTATTCTGTGTTAAAAGTGTAAATATTTAAAGACCAACATAATAAGAATATTTAGGTTTAGATACGTGTTCGAGTATTGGTATTTTTACCTTACTATATTGGTATTTTTCATCTATATGTCGTATGAAATATGGTAAAATCGAGACATTTATCTCGTGGTTGTCTGTCATATCTATATCGCGCAATGTATATAGGGAAGATATTGATAAAAATATTATATAACATGTAATATTTGTGTATAATAAATATCATGTGTCGATGTCATTCCCAGTGAAGAATATAAAACAGTTGTGTGCGGCGAGATTTAAATATCAAGTTGACAATGATAAAATTTTATAACAGCGACGTAACGTGAATCAGATTGATAAAATATTCAGGAAAAATGTGTACTATATCAGAGTGAGCTTGTGTGTATGTGTGTATACGTGTGATCAAATGATCAAGTAAGTTATTAACGCGACATTTTTTGTTTTTGCAGGTCGCTGGGGCTCTTAATATTTATTATAGCGACGTATGTGCCCGACACCTTCGCAAAACACGTAAGTTGTACTTGTAAGACCCGAACACACCACTACAACACGCGATCTAAAAACAATGCTCGAAGCCTCGCGGGAGAGACGTCTCGAATAAAGCCACGACAACGGGCCTCGACGAAACGTGTCTTGACGGCATTCCCTCAGGTTTTATTGCCCTCTCTTTGATGATGGTTCGGGTTTCAAGGCCTCCCGGTCTCGCGCAGGTTATCTTGGTACACTTTGTTCCTAGGAAATCCGAGACAATAGGGAACATGAAGATTCCTTAAACCATTACGGCGTAACCAATAATTACGTTTGACCTTCGGGGCTAACCACAACCCGCGTTTTTTCCTTCTAAGCTCCATTCATCACACACAGCCATATATATACTCGATATTTTATATTATTAATACCTCAATATATACATATATATATAGACGAACGCGCGATACGAATCTCTTAGATTACTTTAGCGTTTGATTCTAAGCCTCGGTGATATCATTACATGATCCTGAGATTATATCTTGGAATTACTACAAAGCGAGTGTTCTCCGCGATGTAAAAGGGGCATTCTCTCCATTGAAATACACGACACTCCCTTCCTTTCGTTTAGCTGAACGAACGTCCAGTATTATAGGTGCAGTACCTGGACCTATAATATTTGCTCGCTTCCGCAAACCGTGGGGAATAACATTGATTTTGGCCGAGCTCCAAGTTATCTAAATGTAATGTCACGCCACCATCGGATATCCCGTTAATTCTCATCGCTTTTTCTCAGGCTTTTTAACGGGACAACTTTTGAACGGCGATACGATTCGTCACCGTTGCCATTTTCTTCCTCTTCTTTCCTTTTTAATCGTAATAAGTTCTCGACGTTGTTTTTCAATTTTCATCCGGCGTGCGTTTCACGGCGATCGATGATATTGCAAAAGTTCCTTCCCGGCATTGTCCGATAAAGCCGCTAATTTCGCGCAAATACACGTTATATCTCAGATATCGTCTTGATCACCCATCGACGTCCCGGCCACAAAACTCGATCCGCGAGGAAGTAGTTCTGCGAGATCGAAAAGCTCGACGACGCTGAAAGCGTAATGGCGAGGTCAGATTAGGTCCGAGATGGAAGAAGCCACGGCATTACTAGAGAACGTTTTCAGGATAAGGAGGGGAATTTCGTTAGGACATTCCCGTGATCCTCGACGGGCGGAAAGATGGAGGCGCTTCGAGGGTAGACGCGACCGTGAGGGAGACGACCGAGACCCGCCGGTAATCTTGTTGCATGCGCACGGCCGTTGTATTATGTTCCTTGTTTTATCCGCACCCGCGCACACCGCGTCACCGACTTGCACGGCAAATAACTTATGCGAGAAGTAACTCACACGGGGCTCTCGTTGTACAACGCGTGTTCGTCGCGCCGGCGAACCGTGCACCCTTGAAATCTCGCCGCCGCGAGGTTAAGATCCGCGTTGAAGTGTCTTTGTCCGCGAAATTGCCCGAAAGTGTTTTCTCTCAGACCGGGACGAATCGCAGAATGCCGTCTTGATTCCTGTCTTAAAAGAGGAAATGGAAATATTTGATTATTCCGCGAAGTCTCTCTTTCTCAGGAAAGGTATTGGAAATTAGCGGCGTTTGCCTTCGCGCGAAAATTGCATTCACGTCGAGCCAAATGTATCGCGCGACATTTAAAGCGACTTGAGCGGACGCGAAAAGTCGACAAACGAGTCGCATTGTCGAGCGATCGCTACGATTGCCCGAAGAAAATCGTTTTTCGGTTCTGCTCGGTTATTGCTCGCTTGACGATTTTTCGATATTCCGCGAGCTCGACAGAGGGAAATTAGATTTATAAATCTGCGAGAACGCCCGTCCATGTGTGTGTGTGTGTGTGCGCGCGCGCACCCACGCGCCTATCTTTAACACGGTTCGAACGGAGGCACATCGCGCGCGCTCCAGAGATACTCGAGGATCGGCAATGAGATTATTAGCTGGCACGAAAGGAAAGGGGAAAAACTCTCTGACTCATGTCGGGGCTTTTTACCATCATTATAGTGCACTGTCGGCCAGACCGCGTGGCTAATCTAAGTTAAGTGGTCGTTACAGACGCGAAGAAATCTCGAAAATGCACCCGCCAATCTCGCCGGGCGACGCGACATTCCGATCGTGTGTCGTGATATCCATCGTGCCGAGACTACTTTCATCGCGATTAACAAAAAGCCTAACTCGACCGGGTCGAAATTTTGACCAGAGACGTTAAGAAGGATTTTAGTTTTTATATGTATTAAACGTACACCGAAACGAAGATGTTAGAAAGCTCAGATCGAAAGTAGGGCTCAAATAAGCGGGAATTTATACACGCAATGTTGCGTCGGCGAACGTAAGCGTTAACGACGTGTCACGTTGCCTCTGAAGTCGGCTTAACGCAAGAACGCAGAAGAACAAGTCGTCACGGCTAACAGGAGAACAGCAGGTCCGATTATGCAACACGTAGTTCCCCTCGAAGAACGAGGAAAGCATTGCTCGTGGCAGCCGACACCGGGATGGTGTATGCGCGCCGGAAAAGAGAAGACAGCTTCGTTCTCCATCGCGACCAGTTCCCATCGCGCTCTCCGTCGTAAACAAACGCGAAACAGTTATCGCTTTGACGTCTCTCTGGAAGCGCGGCCTTCAACGGTGTAATTGTTCATTATTAAACGTGGCAGAGAGAGCCGCAAGCTTTCCGCCGCTTACCTGCCACCCCGGCTCCTCGTTTTTCCGAGCGCGTCGATGTGCATCTCCGCGTTATTTTCGGTACAAATGCGCTCTCCGCGGGCCGCAATGCAATCTTCATGCCCGAGGTCGGCTGTAACCCCGCCCGTTGCCGCGCGAGATAATAACATTTCCAGCGCGGATTTAACCGAATCCGCACTTGGAATATTTTTCCCCCGCGCGTATCGGTTCTCCCGTTAGCGAGGTACTCGTTGTGATTTATAGCTTATTCGTTGGAACATAATTAATTCGTTACAATTTAATCGCTCTACGGTTGCACAATAATTAGCAGAAGTGGAAGGGACGTCGATAAACTGCCCGTTACAGTTGGAAACACAGCGCATCGCTATTAATGACAAACATGTATAGACTTCATTGCAAAACGCTCAATATGAGAATAGACTCAATTGAAATGAAAATTATTTGTTATTCCAGCTCGCGCAATAAACAGAGATTCTACTTTATTAATTCTGTTCGAAGGAAAGTACTCAAGAGCGCGTGTGTGTTGCGCGGTCTGCAATTTATTAAACTCGCTGTGGATAACACAATCCCTTGAGCGGTGGCCCGACCACGTCAGGAACGATAAGCTAAAAGATTAATAAATACACTTCCATAACCACAACACGTTGTTTCATCTCAGTAACCGCGATCGAGGATGCGCGCACATCACCAGCGCGTCCTCTCTTTCTTTCTTTTTCTGTGTGTGCGCGCGCGCGCATGTGTGTGTATGTGTGTACACACAAGTACACTTGCGGCTTAAAATATAGCAAACTATCGCAGTAGAAATTGCGAAATTGCAAATCGACCCCGTGAGTCGCCGCGATCCGTTGGTCGCCCGTTTTCGACGCGGTAGTTCGCGTTAAAAGTAGTTCGGACGCGTGACGACTGCTGTTGGAAGTTTCTATCGGCGAAGGGAGGCGATGTCGCGAAGCGACAATTGATCCCGATCAATCAGCAAAGTACGCGAAGTACGTGACCGGAGCTCTGTCGAGCCGTGCAAACTTGTATAGTCGGTTGCAGAACGGTTTAGACACTATGAAGTTGGGAGTTCGGTTAGGAACAGAACTGTCACTACTGAGGATCATTACGACGAACTTACACAGTAATAATATAATTAATGATATAAATAATAATAATAAATCAAAGCATCAATTAGCAACACAATTACTGTGCAAGTTCGTTGGTAATTATTTTTAATTTTAGCAGTTTGATGCATACAGAATAATATCATTCTACTGCTAAAGAAAGCAATTATATATTTTGTTCTTATAAACGGTTATCTTCATATATTTTTGATAATAATCTTAAAATATATACTCGTCGCAAATTCTAGAATTGCTCATTATTCATCTGTTCGAAAGGAGAATTTATTTTCTTTATAAGAATATTATAAAACTTTATTGAAGAAAAATTAGTTCGATTCTCTTTGCGTAACGAGTAACCCGAATTTTGGTTTGAATTAAATATTGTTGATCGAAATACTAAAGTTTCTCACTAGGATATAGAATGCGTTTGAATAAATTTAATGCTTATGATGATTTGATGAACTTATAATAGGTTTCCAGATATATAAACTTATGAAATACTTGAAACACAAGTGATATTATTTAAATGCACTGAGAAAAAATTTTTGATATTTCTAACTACAATCACGTAGAGAAATTACTATAAATTACTATAAATTATGGTCAAGAAAACTATTCTTTAATTAAATTCTACTACAATGTTAGTGATAATAACCTTATGTGCATGTTATCATTTTTGTATTAGAACAACCATAAAATGGTGGTTGAGACCGAAAATAACTATAACTTTAGTTAGATCAACCATTTCTCTCAGTGCAACATGTATTTCCCTGTGTGTATAAGATCCCAACTTCATTGTGCTAAAATCATTTTGCAACCAAGTGTATGCACTCCAATAGCGGGGCGTTACCACCGTGATGAGTGTCGTGAATCGTTACGTAAGATCGCACGAGATTGCGGCCAACTATACGCTGCTACATTGTTGCATCGCGTCACGTCTGATCACTTTCGTTTGAACGATGACCGACACGTCATCTGTTCGCGGAACTCGCGAGAGAGAGAAAGAAAGGAGAGAGAAGGAAAGAGAGAAACGCTAGCCAAAGGAATGACCATGGCAACGTGCATGCCGAGTCTTTAATTCTCGTTACGCTACTGAGCGACAACGCGCTATCAGCGATCTCGCAGACAAAATCGCCATTACGGGTGGACCCACCATTTGTGTCGGACGCGAGAGGTCAGACGGTGACGATATATATGACA